GCCCGGGTACGTGTCGAAGCCGTGCCGGGCCTCCACAACGCCCTCCTTGTCGCGCACCAGTCGATGGTCACGCTCACCTTGCGGCACACGTGGCAGCGCTCGTCCAGCAGGCCGTAGCTCAGCTTGAGCACCGCCTCCAGGACGTGGCTCATCTTGACGGCGGACACGCCCTCCAGGCCCAGCTGCTCGGCGGCCACCTGCTTTCCGACCGCCATGCCGGCGTGAGAGAGGTGGCGCAGCATGCGCGAGTCGATGCTCATCTGGTCGGCCGTGGTGGGCGCCGTAGAGGTCGCCGACAGGTGCGGCCGCATCAGGCGCAGCTCCTGGGGGTCACATCGACGCCCTGCAGCGAGAACTCGAAGCCGCCCTCCTCCGTGTCCTGGAGGTCGGGCGCGTCGAAGCGCAGCCCGTCCGCCGTCTCCACGATCTGGCCGTGCACGAAGGTGACGCGGTCGCCCGTCGGCGGTCAGCACGGTCTTGCCCTCGGTCTAGCCCGGGACGAACTTGGGGCCCTCCTTGGTCTCGACGACCCGCGGCCGGAAACAAACTGCTCGCCCAGCTCCGTCATCACGAGCTGCAGATCTATATTGAAAATTCAAACTATGAACTAACAAAAAATAATTGCTCTAATATTTACAATAAACTACCAGGTACCATCTTAAGTGCTGCGTCTTTAAATATTTTTAAAAATAGACCTAAGAAATTTTTAATTGAGGAAGAGTTTTATGCTGTTGAAGACTTTCTAGAAGGGAAATGGCTATAATGTAAAACTGTTAAATACCTATTGACCATGATATGATGTATTTTTGTACTTCAAAGTCTAATAAATAACTATACTAACTAACTAAACTAAACAACAACAGCAATAAAGATAGCTTTGACAAAGCAGTAGGAACAGTAAGCTAATAGTAGATGCACATCACTTTTTAGGAAAGCTGTCTAGCAAAAATCTGTCAATGCGAGCTTGTTGGGTTCCTGAATGGTACTTTTTTAAATGATTAGTTACATTTCTTTTTGGTATGTCTTTCGCCCAATTTTGAGGACACATGGGACATTTTAATCTCTCCATGCTTTTCTTGGGCGTAGAAGCCACCAATGCAGCCTCATCCTGTGTTTGACTCCTGATTTGCGGGGTAACAATTGATTTATGGAAGTAGCTATCATCTACAGTGCGAATCACATTACGAGTAATGTAAGCCTTGAGCAGCTGTCTGGCATGGACGGCAATCAATGGAGTCAGGTCCATAAAATGGACAGAATCAGCACTGCAAATAAATAACATTCATGTTACTCCTCATTGCCAAGTAAGAATGACTGTACCTACCACATTATGAGTGCAAGATTTCATACTTACATGCACTTGCATGCGGGATAGACACACCCATACGGTATCCAACTTTTGGTAGCAAAGTTACAAGCCTCTGCCCAGTTATGTGCTAAATTCCCCCCTGTGTGAGCGGCATTAGGGAGCACAACGATACCTTCTGATTCTTTCTGAAGGACCTGCAATATTGAGGCAGTTGTAAGGACATGTGTATGAGCCCAAGATCATTGTTAAATATGGTTGCTCCAGACTTACTACACTGAAAGGGATAGATTCCTCACGAAGCCACGATATTGTAGGGATGTAAAATTTGTGACCCAAAGTGTTCAGGCACGAAGCATGCCCTGCAAATCCATGTGATGTTAATGCAAATGTTAACTTTGCAACGGAATGAGGAGGTATTACAATCCTGTAAATCAATATATAGTAATTAAACTATGAAGGCACATGTGAACATCACCAACAACTCTAATGTGTTATTTACCAGAATTTTGGAGCGCCATGCAGCAGGAAGTTGAAAGACCAAAGAGACATATCTTCTACGTGTAATGGGAAAAAAGAATGACTTCCCCCAACATACAAGGCAGGCGAGGAAATACCGTCGTAAACTCCATCAAGCATACTAAGGATATTTTTGTAACACAGCATCATCATAGAAAAATTTTCCGTCATATACACATGCTTCTTACTACTTTCATCAATGCCTGAGCTGTAAAGGAAGCTTGACGACGACCCAGCAGGCACAGGAACACTCTTTAACATGGTGGTAAATGAACAGGACGTACATTTACAAATTACTGCATTATCCGGAACATTCTCTGCCATTGTATATTGTTTAAGAATACTACACTTTTTCAGAACTGACGTGCCCTTTTCATATTTTTGGCGTTTGGCATATGCAGCTCGCCATGTAGGGATCTTATTTGATATGGACTTCATATCCACATCCTGCCTTAAATGTTTGGGAATTGCCTCAGCTTTATCACTAATTTGTGAGAAGAAGTGCTCTATGAATCCTTCTGTGCCTTCATCTTCTAATGCTTTCACACTGGAAACAAAAGTAACACTGTCAGTATGGACATTTTTAAGGATTACTGGACCGTGAGAGGTAAGGTATGTTACTTACCAACAGGAACCTTTCCAGGTGTCTTCATGTAATGCTCTCTCAGTAACTGAATTCGAGAAGCATTCGCTCGAATGCCAGCTCGCCTTTACACTTCTGTAGCCATAAAGCCCACATCCTTCCGCAGGGTTCTTAAAGACGGACAGTTCCTTGACTGACTCGTGGACATCATCACTAAACGCATTGCTGAGTTCCCGTAAAGTTGTTCCCCTTTTCACATCTTTGTGGAGACGAACCTAAATGAACAAACAAAATTAAGGTACTTAGAGAAGATTGTCTATCTTGGGCTGTATCACCTTAAGAGAAATAACAGATAACAGATAACAAATAACAGATAACAGATCCATTTCAGGAAGGTAACTTATGCTGTTTGATCATGGTTTATTCCACTAAAGTAGCATTTATTGCAAAATATATTCATTGAAACATTTTTGAAACGACAGAGAGCAAGAGAAACCTGTGTAAGATATGTTGTCTGTTATTTGTTATTTCTCTTAAGGTGAAACAAACAAACTTACTTTGAAGAAACCTAACTTCTGAACGGCGGAATCTTTGTATTTTGTTTCGCAAAATTCTTCGAAATTGATGAGGTCATTCTCATCCACCTCAAATTCTGGGTATTCATTGGTGAATTCGCACATGATAGGATAGAGAGTGGGTAAGAATTTACTAACTGCAAAGAAGGGACGACTCCAAACACCCAAGCCAAGGGCGCATTCTGTTAAGGAAAGTGAGGTCGGGAGGTCTAGTCTTCCCAGCAAAAGAATAGTGAAATGCGAAAGGCGGATTCCGTGGCTCTTTTCCCCCACTACTCAGTTCTCACCAATCAGTCCACAGGAAACTGAGTAGTGGGGGAAAA